AGAGATCGGGCCATCGCCGATGTCTACGCCGTCGACGCTCACCTGCTTCATCTCTCATTTGCCTTGGTCCCTCATCTCCCAATTCGGATATTGTTTCGGTAGGAAAGCATACGTCTTCCTGTGCTGGTACTGCCACCGTTCGGCGTCGCCGCATTTCTTGTTGTGGAGAGAGCAGGGGCGACCCAGGTGAAGAGGATGGTGCAGAATGTAGATGCCGTCCAGTTCCGTCTATGTCGATCAGCGTGTCGTTGGGGGCATTCAAAGAATCCTTGCGATTCTCCATTGACCGAGCCATTGAGAAGTCCCAATCAGCTCCTGTTACCACAGCATCGTCATAATTCATCTCCGGGCCCAGCTTTGGAGACCCAGGAATCGACGGTGGATTGTTTATATCGTAGTCTCGCTCTACAGTGGGCGAATAAAGCGGGCTGCGATCGTCCTTTGGCGAACATGCCGAGGATATAGTTTGCGTAGAGGACGGTCGAACACGCGATGAGAACAAACTCGGGCGATTGTCAGTTCCGTACCGATTATGGCCAGGCGTGTGGCCTGAAACTGGCCGCATCAATGGTGTCCGATCATTGGCATCCTCTTCATCACTATCACCGGTGTGATGTTGTTGGCTCCGTCCTCCCCTCGGGGTGCTCCGAGGTTGCCCATCGTTCGATCGGAAGACATTGGATGTTAGGGAGCCTGGGCGGAATGACGATCCAAGGCGACTGTCACGACGAGGTCGCATCAAAGGTTGGTCCCTGCTCGGGCAAGAAAAAATCAGTATCCAACTCAAGCTTCGAGATAGCTCAATATCATGAAATCTTACCGATGATCTAATAGCGCATCGCTCTCCAAGCTTGTGTTACTCAGATTACGCCGTAATTTGAAGAACGACTTGTCCCTCGAAGTTGGCCGATCGGCCTCCATTGGGTCTCTGACACCTCCAGCATCCGAAGTCTCCCCAGGACTATCATGGGATTCCTCCTGACTAGGTGGAATAAAAGACTGGTGTCGGTTGCGACGTTTGCGATTGCGGTTCTTTTTGCGTTTAGAGGACTTGGAGGGTTTCCCGGCACCATTATCGGGAGGTTCTAAGCGGGTCTTGTTGGCCGTAGCCTCGGAGACGGGTACCGCACCAGTCCTTGGGGCCCGACCGCCACTCATTGGGTCATAGCTAGCGTCGTTATCAGCAGAGGGTGGGTAATCGGTGCGCTGTGGACGTTTTCTTGGGCTAGGCGAATGCGAGGAACGAGGCGGTCGGTAGGCCGCTGTGCCAGGTGTCGGCAGCATGGACGGATCCATTGTGACAGCCTAGATAATTGGGTCGCGACAAAGGGTGGGTGTCTACAGTACAGGGCAACTGTATTGAAGTGGAGGATGATTTTTCAGCAGCTCATCAACGAATGTACAACACCAGACCAACGCAAACAGGGTTCTGGATCCCAGGGCAAAGACTCGCAGCATGCAGGATACCAGCCTTCCATATGTTGTATGATCTGACTAGCGCTGATGATCATGGAGGAACCGACATCGGCATGGTCGACAGCACAGAAAGGAGCTGCAGCTTAGGTTGGAGAGATGACGCGGGTGGCAAAACCAGGGTGGAACATTCCCGGGGATAAAAAGAAAGGTAAGAAAATCTTAAATTGAGATATGAAACATTGAATAGAAAGAACAAGTTGTGTACTTGTATATAGTATGTAACAGGGAAAAGGAGGATCCAAATACAAAGAGAAATCCCCGAGGTTCCTCTTGAGGCGGCAGATGAGATTCTGACGGGTTGGATTCCCATGGGACCAGCCCCCCGAGGCTTTTCCTAAAATGGAATAGATGAGGTCAGCACAACTATAAAATTCAGATAGGGAACAATCATCTAGTTAGTTATGTATATGATTTTAGTATTTATTGTCAGTAACGATAGAGAGTGATCTACTTCCTGTTCTTTTATATCCGCAGTTTCCGCCTTTGGAGCGTATCTCCGCTGTCCGCTCTCCATAAATCCGCCCCGCCTTGCGAGAAGTACGATGAAATCCATGTAATGTTGATAAATTAATACCTCCCCATTTGGACTGCATACGCAATCAATCCAACTACAAATCTCTATTCCCTCAACTATGCCACCACCAACCTCTCGCAGCGAGATTCTCGCTAATCTACGCCGTCAAATCGAAGCCGGGAAACCCATCGTTGGAGCCGGAGCCGGTACGTACTCGGTCTGACCTGTGCCTCTTAGCTCTCCATCGATCAAATAACTAATAATCCACCATTAGGCATCGGTCTATCTGCAAAATCGGTCGAAGCCGGTGGCGCAGACCTAGTCATTATATACAACAGCGGTCGATTCCGCATGGCGGGGTGCGGAAGTCTCGCGGGGCTGATGCCGTACAGCAACGCCAACGAAGTGGTAGTCGAAATGGCCGCCGAAGTCATTCCTATCGTTCAGAATATCCCTGTAATTGCGGGTGTCTGTGGTACGGACCCATTCAAGCATATCCCGCGGTTCCTGAAGCAGCTGCGGGATTTGGGATTTGGCGGAGTGCAGAATTTCCCTACGGTGGGGCTGATCGATGGCAACTTCCGTGCTAACTTGGAGGAGACGGGGATGGGGTATGAGAAAGAGGTCGAGATGGTGCGGCAGGCGGCGGATTTGGATATGCTGACCACGCCTTATGTTTTCAATGTCGAGGAAGCTGAGGCTATGACGAAGGCTGGGGCGGATATCCTGGTTGCACATATGGGTCTGACTACTTCCGGGCTGATTGGGGCAAAGACTGGAAAGACATTGGAAAAATGTGTGGAGGAGATCCAGGCAATTCGGGATGCCGCGGTGCGGATCAATAAGGATATCATTGTGCTGTGTCATGGTGGGCCTATTGCAGCTCCAGAAGATGCGAAATTCGTGTTGGATAGGGTGCAGGGTGTGCATGGCTTCTATGGGGCCAGTTCAATGGAGCGACTTCCTGTGGAAGTGGCCATCAAGGACACCACTGCTGAATTCAAAAAGATTGCCTTGAAGAGGTAGTTGTCTATCTGGAGCTGTACCCGAGCAGCTTTCTGACCTGGGAGATCAGTCTCGAAAGGGCTTTATTTTATTGCCTTGGGAGACCTCTATTTTCTTTATAGCACTATCGAATCTACATGCTTCGTTCCCTTTGCCACTTCTTGGCTTCCCTTTTTCGATTTCTATATACATTTTGTCAGACAGTTACAAACCCCTTCAGTAAGCCGGTTCTGCTCCAGGGCTCGATCACATGAGTAGGACGGATAGTTGTAACTATGTTGTAGGTGCTTTTTATGTGTATATGTACTCTTTGCAGGAGACCTTTCTATATACTATGATGTTTGATGTATTGCAAAATAACAAAATAGGTATAATACATATGTACATACACGCATGCATCCCAGATAGAGTTGGATGGGGAAGGAGCTAACATCTGCTTTCCTTGGTTCCTGTTACGTGCCAGGTCGATCAATGAAGAAAGAGTGCATTCCAACTAAAAAAAGCAAAGACCGAGAGAGAGAGAAAGAAAGAGAGAGAGAGAGAGAGAGATCCTAGGGGTTCTTATAGCAAGAGGATCTCCTCTGGAAGCAAACAATATCTCCTTCCGAATTAGGCTTAATAGCAATCACCCGATTAGGCATAATAGCACTCTGTCAACAAAGAAACAAACAAAGAACGATCCTTGACATGCAACAAAACATGTACCAGAGCATGTGATAGATGTAGATATAAATACTCCCTCCCCTCTCCTACTTCTTCCTTTTTTCTTTTTCCTTCTCCATACCACTCCGGGTCCCACATTGTGGTTCCCGTTGAGTACCCTTCAATTTTTTGTCACCCTTTGGTTCTGGCTTCAGGTCTCTATTCAACATATTGATGCTGTTGTCAAGTGATCGGTTTATCCTGATGACTCTGGCGGGTCTCTGTAGGCGGCCCTCGCTAGGCTGCGAATGGCACGAAGCATGTCTGGGAGGTAACAGGTGTAGGCTCCCCGGAGCTGAGGCACTCCTATGCACCGCTGCGGAAACAGACTGTACTAGCTTGGGTGCTCCCGTTGTCCGCCAGGAGCCGAACCAAAGGATCTTCAAACTAGGAAGGGGCTCTGTTCTCATCTCCTTCGACAATAATTTTTGGAACCTTTATAACAGAGATAGCTCTCTGTTGTCCGAAGAATTTTCTGAGGACATTTGTTTTCAAGGTTCCTTTTTATGGTTCCACATCCTCTTATTCAGGTGGACTATCCTCCTTCGTTTCTCACTCCTTCCTCTACATCTTGCGCTTCGCCCTGCACGGGGGCAGGAGCGCTCGTCATCGGTTTCCTCGAAGCCGCTTATATTTCTGAGTTGCTTTCTAAAGGCACACTATATGTACATAACTCTTTAGCTTAGGTTCGGGAACAAGGGCTTCGCCCTCGTTCCCCTGGACGTTAAATAGAACAACAACAACAACCCTTCCTCTTCATTCTCCCAAATCAGAATATTTCTACTGTTCTCCCAGGGCCTAATGGTGTATAGAGATTTTCACCAGTGTCATCCTGATCTTGACGTTAGACTAGATGACTCGCCGCTGTACAATTTGGTTATCAAAAGAGCAGTCATACATTATATTATGTATGATACATTATGTATCCAAGAACCAAGGGATTGCAAAAAAACAAGTCAAGTAGAAAGAATAAAGTAGAAATAGATTATTACACTGCCATACCAGAAGTACAGGTCATCACTCATAAGACATCAAAGCCATGGTAAATACACATCGGGCTAACACATTGTCTTAGAAAGAACACATGAGAAAAATCAAATAGAAACAGGAAAATGAAAAAAAAAGTAAATAACTCCACATATTCACGGTCATCGGCCTTGCAATGACCATTATGTTAAATGACCCAGACGCCACATCACCAACCGGCGAGAGAAGAAAAAACACAAAAATTAGACAATAAGATCAAGGATGCGGCAAGCGCGCATGTTAAAGATGGGAGCAATCATGATCGGAGTGTGACGCCTCAGATCACATTGCTCATGTCCATCATAGATGAAGGTGCCACACTGTGAGCAATGCTTTGAGCAATGCTGTGGACAGACCTGGTAGCATCAATGGACATGCGATCGCCGCTCATCACCCTTGATACTTTCTTGTCCCTGCTAGGGCGGGCAATGAGGACCTGGGCGGGGCAGACGACATCCTCGTCCTCACCCTCGCCCACATCATTGCCCTTTTTGACAACGAGAGGGAAGAGCACAATGCGCACAATAGACTGTTGAGCCTCGAGCTCGCCATTATCGTTTGTCAGACCACTGCGCTCATTCATCAGAGCTGCGTTGAAGTACACTTGGCGTGCAAGGTCGCCATTGGTATCGTATTCAGGCTGCAGAGGTGGCAGCATGATGAATTCAGCCAGCTGGGTACGCATCTCCAAGGATAGGCTAACTGCTACCCGCATGATCTTGCGAAGGTTATCCAGGAGCTGGGATTCAACATGTGACGGAGGAGGGAGGACCCGTGATAGGGTTTGGAAGATCTCCAGCGTAACAGCCTCCGTATCACTCTCCCGCTGAGCAGCAAAAGGCTGGTCGCCGGGACAGCAGGGTGAGAGTGGTGGCTCGCCAGCGATGCACAGCACGGGCTGGGCCAACCTCGCCCAATTGTTTCTCAAGAGACTTGAGCTTTTGACGCTGCTCCCGGTCCATGCCAAAGAGATAACGTGTGAAGATGTATTCCCAAACCATTGTCATGACCACCGACATGAATACATCACGGCGGCGGACACGATCAGATAGATAGGCGTCGGGATCGGAGCCGTCGAGGAGGGCATTATCGAAACGGTCAGCGATCTTTTCGTCCTGCAAATCACTCAGTGGGCGGCAGCGACGCTTATCACTGTGCTTGGAGAAGCGCACGACCCAGGATTGGACATGGCCACACAGCTTCTGGCAGGCGGCCTCGAAGTACTCTTCATCGCGGAAGACAAGGGCATTGTCATGTACTGAGGCTGCGATTTGTTGTTGGAGCTCCTTGACCTTATCGCGAGCCTCCTCAAGTTCGGTACGTAGACGGCGCAATTCAATGTCTTTCTGCGCAAGAGCCGATTCAATCTCTTGTCGCACTCGATCTTCCACCTGGGACGAGAGTTGGCTGTGTTGCGACTGCAGCTCAACGAGCTCCCGCGTGGACGACTGGCGCACGGTGTTGACCTCGGCTGCATGGGCGGCGGCGAGAGCAGAGTTGGACGCAGTCAGCCCCTCATTCTCTTGGGTCAGACGAGTCATCTCCTTCTGCAGCCATTCCACCGAGTTCTTCAATTGTTCCACCTCCGATTCCCGATCGCGTAAATCGCCGTCGCGGGTGTTGAGGGCACGGTCGCTCTTTCGACGAGCGACGCTGGTATTCCGGAGCTTATCTTCGGCTTCATCGCGGGCGGCAATCAGTAGACGGTTCTCAGAGATGAGCTGGTCGAGACGGGTTTCGATGTCTTGCAAGTGTTGCATGCTACGACGACGGCGGACACTAGGCGGTCGGCTGGGCGACCGGGGGGAGTTGGGCGTTTCACCCCATCCCTCCTACTGGAAGTTAGTAAACGAAAAAACAAAACAACAAAACAACCCATAAACAACCCATAAACAACCATAAACAATTGCAAATAGAAAGAATAAATTAATAACTTACATAGACATCCGACATATTTCGCAGCGGACGCTTGCCCTTGTCGGTGACGGGGTCATAAGAAGAGGAAGACGGGAGCTGATCGAGATCGAGATTCGAAGGCTGGGAATCTAGCGCTCGACTAGCCGCCCGCAGATCGCCACTAATACTGCGATTTGTACGACGTAATTTTCCACTGCTGGTGCTGGGTTTCAGAATCCCTTGCTCAGGCGTTTTTTGAATTTCTTTGAAATCATCCCTCTTTTGGTTTTCTTTTTCTGTAGGCCAAGCTTCTCGATCAAAGGCATTGTCTGTAAATTTCCGGACGGGTGTTTGAGGTCGAGGTAAGACATGTTCGGGCTTCATCTCCAGGCGGGGGGTCCCGCGACCAGCCATGGTTCCCTGGCCATGTGGTACTTGTTCCGCAATTGGTTCAAGCGGAGTCCGGGGTCGTACATAATCGTCAGTCGGTCCGAAGAGCGACCGGGGAGGGGATGGGGCAAGAGCCGGTAGAGATGGCTCGTCCAAACTCCATGTTCGGGGTGTATGCTGGTGTCGTCCATGGATTGATGGTGATCGGCGTAGTTCACACAGTTCTGCTCCAGCTTCCTCGGGGGGTGGAAGGCGCGTAGGAGAAGAAGGTTCCTCGGTACGAGTCCGCTCATTGGAGGGCTCCGTTGAAAATGACAAGGGCGCATCCAAGGACTTTTCGCCATGCATCGGAAGTTCTGGCTCTCTGATTGAGTCATCCTCCGTAGCAGTCGGGGTTTCGGGGTGAGCTTTCAGCTCCGAGATCGTAGACTCAATTTGTCTTTCGAGGCTGCTAGGCAGTTCCGAGGTAAAATCATCGGCAATTTCTTTGGTTTTAGTGGTCGCTAGGGGTGCTTCCGAGACAGGGATCGCGATATCGCGATTCGCTTCCAAGTCCGCTGTTGTCTCTTCCTCAGCACTATCTTTTAGCGACGGTGTTTGCTGGTCCAAAGCTGATCGCCGGAATCCAGCACGCTCGAGTCCGGGAAATAAGTCGGCAATCTTAGATCCACCGGGGGTAGTTGTTCGAGCAGGCGGCTCGATCTCTTTGTCGTTCGAGGGTTCCAGTGAAGGCTCGTCGACTTCCGGAGCAGCTTCGTTTGCATCATGCGAAACTTCGGGGAATGAAGAATCAACAAATTCGCTGATAATCTCCGGCTCGGGAGGTGAAATTTCCGACTCAGGGTCAGAGTTCACTTCCTTCAATCGCTGGGACTCTTCAAGCTTCGTCTGCCAGTCAATTGCCGGCCAGTGTTCTTCGTCATGGGACGACTTCTCGTCTGGCACTTCTGGATCCTGTGGCTTAGATTGGTCCTCTTCGAACGGCACAATGTTAGCATGCTGATCCGCATCGATCGCGTTTTCAGCCCGCTCAGTATCCAAGGATTTGTTAGCCTTTTGGGCCTTCTTGGCCTTCTTCTTCGAGGCCTTGCGTGAAAGAGGGATTTCCTCGCTGACGGGCTCTTCATCGGGTTGTGTAGGCCCAACCTGAACTTCGGGGACGGATATAGGCTGATCCTCAATCGCAAGAGAGGATTCAATTGGCAGCTCTCGCTCCAATGTAGGTTGAGGTTCTGCAGCATCTTCAGTTTCAGGAATTTCCTGCTCCACGGCAGGCTCTGTCGGCCGGCTCTCCCATTCCGTGGGCAACTCAGCCACGTCAGCTTGGGGCTCTTCTTGTTGTTGAGTCGAGACTTCTTCATTGGTACTGCCATTCTTCTTGGCCTTGCGCTTGTCCTTCTTTGACATCTTCTTGGACAGAGCCGGCATCACTTCAGGTTCTCCAGGTCCATCCTCAACAGAGCCCTCGACGACCTCGAGGTCAGCTGTTTTCTCAAGGTCCCGTGCATCGGCCCCAACTTGAGCTTCATCTTCCTGTATGTTCTTCTCGGCAGGATCCTGGAGGCCAAGGGACTCATAGTTGGTAGCTTTGTCAGCGGGTTCCCCAGGTGAGGACGTAGGGAGTGTGTCCAGAGGGACGACTGCTTCATTTTTCTCGCTTTCTGAAGGTTGCTTATCTTCCGATACGATGCCGAACCTCTCAAGAGGCGGGGCTTCGATGCTTTCGAGCTCGGAATTGGGAGCCTCCTGGATTTCTTCCCGGGCAATGGACTCAGACTCGGGAATAATCTCCGTTGGCGTATCCTCGAAAGTCGGCTCCGGTTCAGGAGCAGCCTCTACAGCCGCAGGCTCGGTAGGAACATGCTCCTCGAGCGGAGAAGCTGGCTCAATTACTTCTTGCTTGGCTTGCTTCTTGGCCTTTTTCTTGTCTTTCTTTGACGCTTTCCGAGTAATAGTATCGACCACAGCTGGCTCCTCGACTAACTCTTTCGTAGACTCCTCGGGCTTGACCTTGGATTCGAGGGGTTCTGTAGAATCGAGAACCTCAACAGGCTGCTCCAGGACATCTTGTTTCGGCTCAGAAGTTGTCAGTTCTGTTGTTTCGTCCAGGCTCTTTTCTGTCTCAGGCTGAGGGTTGTCCTCAGTCCCTAAAAGCCTCCGGCTCCTGGACGATATGTTGCTCTACCACTTCCTCTAGAGCTTGAGGAGTGACGGCCAGGGGCTCTTCGGGTTCAGGTTGTGATTCGACGAATTTTTCTTCCTCGAGAAGGGCGGCGGCGGCGGCGGCGGCGGCGGCAGCCTTCTTCTTCTCCTTCTTGCTCATCTTCTTGGGGACACTCGCCGATTCGCCTTCGGGCTCAGGGCCCGCTTCAGGTGGCGTTTGTTCGCTAGCTTGCTCGTCATTTAGAATCTCGGTCGGGACTTCGGCAGCTTCCCCAGCTGGCTTATCTCCTTCCTCGACCCTCGGCTCAGCGGAAGGAAGTTCGAGAGAACGCTCTCCGCCTTCGATTTCTAGACTCGGAACATCCTGTTCAGTGTCTTCAGAAAGTGTCACAATATCCTTGGAGGCATCCTCGGTGACATCAATAGGCTGCACTGTAGGCTCGTCTGCACTAGTAACAGCCTCATCTTGGATGATAAATTCGGCAGGTGCTGACTCCGTTGTAGTCTCAACCTCTTGGACGGAAGCTTCAGCCGATTCGGGCGTTGTCTGTTCCCTAGGCCGGAGCTCAGCTTCGGGTTCTTGGGGAAGAATTGATTGGCGTTGCTTCTTCTTGTCTTTCTTGGCCTTCCGCTTCTGAGCAGGAGTCATCGAGGCCTCTTCGGCGGCCTCGGTGGCAGCTGCATTTGTAAGGACCTCTGACTGCGTTGTCTCTTCGGTAGGAGGAGCAACGGTCTCGCCTTCTGGGATAGTGTCATCAATGTCCTCGGTTGTCTGGACGGCGACAGTGTCTTCAATGTCCTGTGGGTGTTCTGCCCGTTGCTCCTCTGGAATTGGCACTAGCTCAGCCTCGGCTTCTGGGACACTGATCTCCTTGGTACCAGCAGTGCCCTCGGTTGTCTGGATAGCGGTAGTCTCTTCAATGTCCTGTGAGTGATCGGCCGATTGCTCCTCTAGAACTGGCAATGGTTCGGCCTCAGCAATGGGCTCAGGCTCGGTGATTTCTTTCACCTCCGGCTGGGGCTCGGCCTCAAACAAAGGTGCAGCTTCAGGCTGCTCCTTGTCCTCCGCAGTAGAGGTTTCAAGCTCAGGTGCTGCGGCTTCATCCTCTTGTTTTTTGTTTTTGTTTTTGTTTTTGTTTTTCTTCTTCTGCTTCTTCGAGACAGCTGTCTCAGAAGCCTCCTCCACGAGAGATTCTTGTGTCTGTGCCTCAGGAACGTTATCAATTAGAACATCCACAGGCGTCTCTTCAACATCTTTGTTCTCAACATCCTTCTCCATGGAGAAATCGTCTGCTTCCGGCACAGACGACTTCTCCTCAACAACCTCACCATCATCAACTGTTTTCATTTCCTCAAGGGGTGTAGGCTCAAGCAACTCCCCCTCTCGCTCCTGTGCAGTAGGGGCAACATCACCCTCCTGCACACCATTTCCCTCCACCAACTCGCCGGAATCAACTGAACGCTCAAGCACGGGCTGGGGAGGATATTCTAAAAAAGGACTTTCTATCGGCGTCTGCTCAACCTGCGAAGACATGTATTTATCAGTCGAGGCCGTATTTTGCGCCGTGGCGTCGTAAGTTTCTATGTCGTGGGACTGATGTTCTTTACCGTCATGTTCCGCAGGCGAGGACGCCGGTACGGCTGAGAGTCCAGGGGCGTCTGTGTCCGTAGAGGTGAGGACCTTTTCGACACTGTTGGCCGCTTCAGTGGATGTTGCGGCGTCGTTGTCGGCGTCGACATTCTTGGACTGGCGTTTCTTCGCCTTCTTGGCAGCTTTGCGTCGCTCCTTGGTTGACATGCCAGCTTCTTCGGTCGTCTCGGCAGGAGAAGAGGCAATGGCCTCTGCTTCCTGGGAGGGGGCATCGACAATCGCCTCGGTGACTGGAGCTTCGTCGGTCTCCTTGGCGTCAGGAATTTCCTCTTTTGGCACATCGTCAACTAGGGTTTCTGTTATCTCGGGTTCCTCGGCCTTGGGAGCCTCGGGTTCGGTGGTATTGTCTTGCTCGAGATCTTCTGCGGGCTGTGCTGGCTCAGAAGCGGGAGTATCTTGCAACTCCAGGTTCTCAGCGGGAGTATCGGGGGAAGTTTGAACAATGGGCTCAGATTCCTGCGCTGCTTCTGTAGCAGCAGGGTCGTTTTCGGCCAAGTCCACAGACTTGCCCTTCTTCTTGTTCTTCTTCGCCTTCTTCTTCTGCGCCGTAGTCAAGGGAACTTCAGGCTCTTGTGTATTCGGCGACTGAGGCTCTGAGGGAGTCTGAGCATCTTGTTCCGGCTGATTTGGCAACTCCACCGTGGACTTTGGATCCTCGACTTCAGCAGGAATGGGAGCATCGGGCGCAGCAACTGAGGTCGGCTCATCCTCGGCGATCTCCTTGCTTTGTTCAGAGGAAGCGGGCTCTTCAATCTTCTCCGAGACTTCCCCTTCAGTAGCAGGTTCGGCAACTTCTTCCGTCACTGATAACTCTTTGGCTGATTCGTCGGCGATAACCAATTCAGCCGGAGCATCCTGGGTTTCAACCTTGTCTTCAGGCGCAGATGAATCCTGCTCTGGCTTGGGCTCTTCGCTCGGTGTCGCATTGTCGTCAAAAGCAACAGACTTGCGTTGCTTTTTCTTGTCTTTCTTGGCCTTCTTTTTCTGGGCTGGAGTCATTGCCTCCTCCTCCGCAGCCTCGGTAGCAGCTGCATCAGCAGGGGCATCCTGTTGCGTGGCCTCTTCGAGAGAGGGTTCTTCGGGCTTGGGCACCTCTTCTTCTGCCATAATAGGAGCCTGGGCATCTTTGTCGACAGTCGGCTGTTCGGTTTCCTGGGTCAACTCAGGCTCAACGGGCTCTTGCTGAGGGGATTCAGGCTTTGGCTCCTCAACAGACGCGGGTTGCTCCTGTTCAGTGACGACTGATTGACGCTTTTTCTTATCTTTCTTAGCCTTCCGCCTCTGAGCAGGAGTCATTGATGCCTCTTCAGCGGCCTCGATAGCGGCTGCATCGGCAGGTGCCTCTGGCTGCGTGCTCTCTTCTGGAGAGGGTTCTTCGGCCTTAGGCCCTTCTTCTTCCGTCACAATGGGAGTGCCCGCATCTTCGCCGACCGCGGAATGTTCGGCATCCTGGGTCAAAATTGGCGCAGTGGGCTCTTCCCGAATGGAATCAGGTATGGGCACCTCTTCGGCTGGTGCGGGCGTCACGTCTTCCTCGGCTGGTTCAGGCTTGGACTCCTCAACAGGCACAGGCTGTTCCTCTTCGGCAACAACTGATTGGCGCTTTTTCTTATCTTTCTTGGCCTTTCGCCTCTGAGCAGGAGTCATCGAGGCCTCTTCAGCTGCTTCGATGGCGGCAACATCGGCAGGGACCTCTACCTGTGTAGTCTCCTCCGGAGAGGGTTCTTCGGCCTTCGGCGCCTCTTCTGTCGCAATAGGAGACTCCGTGCTTGGCTCGGGAGCAGGCTGTTCAGGCTCTTGCGATGGCGCGGGTTCGGTAAATTCACCCTCAGTAGGCATAGGTGTAGGTTCCTCTTCGGCGGGTGCAAACTCAACCTCTTCCCCAGCGGGCGTAGACTTAGCCTCTTCCTCGGCGGCCACAGCCTTGGACTCCTCAGCAGACGTAGGCTGCTCCTGCTCAGCAGCAACTGATTGGCGCTTTTTCTTATCTTTCTTAGCCTTTCGCCTCTGAGCAGGAGTCATCGAGGCCTCTTCAGCTGCTTCGATGGCGGCAACATCGGCAGGGACCTCTCCCTGTGTAGTCTCCTCCGGAGAGGGTTCTTCGGCCTTCGGCGCCTCTTCTGTCGCAATAGGAGTCGCCGGGCTTAGCTCGGGAGCAGGCTGTTCAGGCTCTTCAGATGGCGCGGGTTCGGTGGATTCAACCTCAGCAGGCACAGGTGCAGACTCCTCTTCGGCGGGTGTAGGCTTAACCTCTTCCTCAGTGGGGACAGCCTTGGACTCCTCCTCAGCAGACGTAGGCTGCTCCTGTTCAGCAGCAACTGATTGGCGCTTTTTCTTGTCTTTCTTGGCCTTCCGCTTCTGAGCAGGCGTCATTGATGCCTCTTCAGCAGCCTCGGCGGCGGCTACATCGATAGGGGTCTCTGGCTGCGTGCTCTCTTCAGCCTTGGACGCCTCTTCCGTCACAATGGGGACCTCCGCATCCTTCTCGAGAGGAGGCTGTTCGAGCTCTTGAGATGGCGCCGGTTCGGTGGATTCAACCTCAGGAGGCACAGGTGCAGACTCCTCTTCGGCGGGTGTAGGCTTAATAATCTCTTCCTCGGCGGGGACGACCTTGGATTCCTCCTCGGGAGGTACAGGCTGCTCCTCTTCAGGGGCAACTGATTGGCGCTTCTTATTCTTCTTCTTCTTCTTCGACTTAGAAGAAGTTTCCGCCTGTTCATCTTCAGCCTGCTCCACCACTGGACTTTCTGTAGGCTCCGTAGGCTGAGCCTCCTCCATAACTGGCTCAGCTGTAGGCTCTGTAGGCTTGTCATCGAGAGACTTGTCTAACACAGGCTCCATGCTGACGGCTGTATCAAGCTCTTCTCCCTGGGGTTCTTCCGCGGAAGTAACTTCATGCTCTTGGGTGGTTTTCTTGTCCCCATCTTGGACATCAATACCTTGTTCGGTAATATCCGGGGTAGGAATGGCCTCTGCGGGTGCGTCGTGCGCAAGCTCGGATTCGAGAATTGGCACGTCCTGGGCTTGTTCCTCTTCAGGCTTGGTCTCAGTTCCAAGATCACGGGCTGCCTCGGGGTCTGTGGGCTCATCAACTGCGGTAGGTGTGGCCTCACTCTCGGGCAAGATGTCACCAGTTTGTTCGACGCTCTTACCCTCGGTAGAAGTAGGCTCGGCCTCAGACTCTTGCTTCTGCTGCTGCTTCTTCTTGTTTTTCTTGGCCTTTTTCCTCTCGGCGGCAGTCATTAGGACCTCAGGTTCGGGAGATTCTTCTTCTGCTTTGAGGGCATCGGTCTTCGCATCAACCGAAGGTTCTTCGGTGGGCGGTAGAGCCACATCCTCGCTCTTTGGCTCCTCCACGTTAACAATATCGTCCTGCTGGTCAAGATCTTGGGGCGCATCCGCAGGAGCGATAGCCTCTTCCGATGCAAATGGAACATTGGCGATAACTTCGGTAGACTCGATCTCAGACGATGGTGCAGCGTCGTCTACCGGCAGCTCAGCCTCAACGGAAGGCTCGATATCCTTCGTTTGCTCGAGAGTCTCAGTCTCTGTTGGCAGAGGAGTATCTTCAGTGACTGGGGCTGCCTCAGGCTCGGTTGTAGATGCAGGTACAACATCCTGTGCAGCCTCAACAGGTTCGGAAGACACCGGTGCAGAGAGGTCTGCTGGAGCAACTTCATCAATTTCATCCGCAGGCGCAATATTCTTGCTTGGTTCAGCGGATTCAGCTTCGGGCGCAAGCTCAGCCTCAACGGCCTTGATATCTTCAGCAACAGAGCCAATGCTCTCTTCCTGCTCCTTTTGCTGCTTCTTTTTCGCCTTCTTGGCCTTCTTCCTCTCCGCGGCGGTCATAGGGACCTCTGGCTCGGCAGGAGATTGTTCAGCCTTAGGTTGCTCCTCTGGTGCGATTGTCACTTCTTTAGGGCTCTCTGACTCTATTACCTCTGCTGTTGGTTCTGGCAGAGGCTCAGGAGAAGCTTCTTCCTGGGGCGGAGCGGCCTCAGAAGTTTGCACGGGCTCGGGAAGTTGCTCGCGCTCGAGCGGCTGTTCGACCTCGACGGGCAGATCCATCTCGCGCTCTTGTGCAGGCGCATCCACCGATACGTCTTCAGTAAGAGGGGCTTCCTTGGCCATATCCTCAGCGGCAGTCTCAATTTCAGGTGCCGGCGAGATAGACTCAGCAGGCTTCTCGTCTTCAAGAATGGAAGATTCACTCTGCTTGCCCTTCTTCTTGTTCTTCTTGGTCTTCTTTTTCTGAGCCGCAGTCAAGGCGACTTCAGGCTCAGCTTCAACTTCAGCTTCGGGTTGAGTCTCGACAACAGAAGGCTCTGGGATTTCGCGAGAAGCCTCCTCAGCGGGATCCGGGAGTTCAGCGTTAGGTTGGACATCGATGACAGCTGGCTGTGACAGTTCATCAGATGGCCCCGCGGGGTCCACTGGCTCAGTCACAACGGGTGCTGCATCCACAGCGACCTCCAATGGAACTTGCTCCTTCCCTTGGGTAGCTGCAGGCTCCTCAAAGGTGGTTTGCAGGGGTTGCTCAACATCCTTGGGCTGTTCAAGATGTTCAAGGTCAGTAAGTAAGGCTTCACCGCCAATTGGAGGGGATTGGGTATCCACAGGTTCGACAACAGCTGATTGCTCAGGTTCGGGGTCTTGACTTTCTGGCGATTCAGTCTCGGGAGCGGGCGTTTCAACGGAAATCTGAGTCTCTTCCACGGCAGTGGATTTGCGATTCTTCTTTTTCTTGTTTTTCCGCTTCTCCGCCTTGGTTTCCGACCCCTCTGCGGGGGCATCTGCAGCCACTTCAATGGGAGGCTCCAGTGCAGGCTCCTTTTCTTCAGCGGGCTGTGAAACCTGTTCTTCGACAGCCTCTTGGAAGTTGTCTTCGCCTTCGGTGTCTTCTTTGGGTGTTTCAGTAATTTCAGGCGTGGTGTCATTGAGGCGGGCCTCTGGGGTAGAATCTTCAATTGGCTTTTCAATCTCTTGCAGGCTGCGGGATACTTCTTCCGCTTCTGGTTGAGTGGCACCATCAATTGGAGTTTCATTGGCGTCAGTGAAAGTAGGCTCCGGGGTTTGCTGTTCTTCCACGGGTAGACCGGGGTCTTCGGAAACAGGTAGAACGGATTCCTCAGTAGATACCTGTTCCACGGGCTCAACCAGCTCTCCGGACTGCTGCTGGCTTTGAGCTTGCTCTTCATCGGTGGCAGCAGACAGGACCGCAGTCTGGTCAGAGGTGTTCTCGAGGGGTTCAGTAGAAGTAGCAATATCCTCGGGCAAGGGCGCAGGCACAATCTCTTCGGCAGGCCCAGGCGCTGTGTCTACTTGCTGGCCCTCAACCTCCTTGGAGGCAGAAATATCATCCTCGGTCTGAGCAGTGACCGTATCATCTGCAGGCCCTTCAGAAGTAGATTCGTTTTTAGATTTTTTCTTCTGCTTCTTCTTGTCGCGCTTGGCCTTTTTAGTCGATGATGCAGTGTCGTCGGCCTGTTCGATTTCGGTAGGCTCCACCTCTGTAGGTTCGGGTTCAAGAGCGGTGCCAACTTCTGGTTCTTGAGCTGCTGCAACCAAAGGCTCAATCTCAAGCTCTCGAGAGGCCTCGATGGGCTCGGCCTCAGGTTGCTCAGGGACAGCGACCTCGGGCTCAACAGGAGCGCTCTCGATCGGTGCGGGCTGAACAGGAGCACCTTCAATCACAGGCTCATCAACCACGATCTCAGGTCCAAGCTCGCGGGATGCCTCAACAGGCTCATTCTCAGATTTCTCAGGAGCAGCGACCTCGGGCTCAACAGGAGCGCTCTCGATCGGTGCAGACTGAACAGCAGCACCTTCAATCACAGTCTCATCAACCACGATCTCAGGTCCAAGCTCGCGGGCTGCCTCAACAGGCTCATTCTCAGATTGCTCAGGAACAGCAACCTCAGGCTCAGCAGAAACAGATTCAACCTCGGGAACCTCCACAGCAGGGTCCTGCGCCAACTCCTTGGTCAAATCTTCCTGCGCCGGGAGTTCTTCGGGGGTTCCTAGATCCGCATCCTGGGCCTGGTTCTTCTTGCCCTTCTTCTTCTTCTTGTTTTTCTTCTTAGAAGACTGGGTAGCCGCGCCCTCGTCGGGGACGACTTCTGTATCGGGCTGAGGGCGAAGATCAGAAGACTCAACAGGCTGTTCGGTCGATTCAGGAGCAAATCCCTTGGCCGTTTCCATCTCTTGGTGCACAGGCTCTGGCCCAGTGGGGTAGTTCTCTTCGATGGCGGTAACGGGCTCACTGGGCGCCTCCTCATCGACAGGCGCCTTGTCATGGTCGCGAGAGGAACCGTCAGCGGCAACTGCTTCATCAACAATATCGCTAAAGCCATGGACCTTGGCGGGTTCATCTGTAGGCAAGGAGCGAGACTGATCATGCTCCTTGACAGCGGCAATAGCAGCTGCGTCGACAACGCCGGCAAAGCCAGCGCCCTTGGCGAAGTCCGTCACGCCGCCGAAGAAAGAACTATGTTCTTGGGTCGGGGTTTCCGGCTCAGGCTGAGGGCTGGACACGCCCTCGAGAGCGTCAAGCGCACGTTTGGTTTCTTGCTCCCTGGAGCCAACGCCAACCATGGAGCCCTCTGCAGAAGGCAGGGCGTCCAGCGTAGGTGAAGGAGGTAACTCGTCCAGAACAGCGGGGTCCTGCAGGAGCTCAGAAGGTGAGTGGAATTCGTATCTGCGCTTTTCCTTCCTCGACTCTGAATCCTGGAAGTGTTCCGCGGTAGGCGTGGGCTGCTGCGAGCCGAGCAGATCAAGGTCTCTATCATGGCTTTCGTTCGCTTGGTCAGTTGAAATTGTCAGCCCGGTCGGGCGCTGGTTCTCCATGATTGATTGACTCAGATCCACGTGCTCCCAGCTCTTAAGGCCATCCTCATCATGGAGGGACTTTACGTTGTCCATTGATGGAGCGCGGGAGGAGGTCTTGCTAGATGGGAGCGATGGCAAGGGCTCCTCCGTCTCGGGCTCGCCCTTGATCAAACTGTGGCGCTCGACGAGCCATAGAGGGCGAATTTCACGCGAGTTTCGGAACTCGACTGACCCAGGCCGGCGGTTGCGTTGCTGGCTTGGCGAGCCTGGGGAGGCGATGGGGGCGGGTTGTTCGACGGGAACTGCGCGGGAGAGACCTGGGGAAGTTGGGGGCCGGCGGAAGTGGAGAGGCACGGCTGTCGGCGATTCGTTGGTGGACTTGGCCACGGAGTGTCGGCGTTGCTTGGGGGATCGGGACCCCTGGGGGTGGCTTGTTTCAGGTGAAGCGGGGCGGCTCAGAGACTTCGGGGTCAAGTCGAGTGTCTTCTCTGTGACTGGGGGAGAAGTGGATTGGCTCCGGGGCCTCTGCTGCGGGATCTCATTGAGTCCTGATGCTGCAGCGAAGACAGCTGCGCTACCCCCTAATGCTGGAAGCCATGAAGCACCATAATGTTCGCGCTCAGGGGCTAGAATTTCAGGGTGCTTCCTTAAAAAAGATTGATCGTCGAAGTTGTCACTATATCTTTCCTGCACATGGAATAACCAATAAAAGCTTAGTACATTTCTTTTTTTTTTTTTGTTCGGGTTTTGTTGTTTTGTGCAAAAAGCTGGTCAGATCAACCAGCCAAAAAAGGGAAACTATATGGGACAATAAAGTGTACAACCAAAAAAATCACAACATAAGTAAGTAAAAAGAAAAGTTCAGATGCTATACCTTCTCAGATTCCCGTTTCCTCCCTGAATCCACGATTTCCTCGTACCGATGACGTCGCCGCTCTTCTTTCTGCTGTCTACTGGACCTGTACTCCTCCAGATTTGTGTCATCCTGGGTACCCTTCTCCTTGTCCGACATGTAACGATCCAATTCATCCCCGTTGCTGGAGCTGCGGTGCTTGGAAGAACGCTTCTTATGGCGACGGCGTTCATCATCCACACCAGCTTCAGATATGGCTTCGCGGGATGAGCGCTTATCCAACGAGGAAGAGCGAGAATGGCCAGACCGAGCACGCTCAGCTGGAGCCGAGACTTGTGAGCCAAAGATATTTCTCAAAAATCCACTGCTCTTTTCTTTCTCGTCCTTGCTTCGGCGCTTCTCGCGGGATTCGTCAATCTGGGCTGGAGAGGAGGTTATAGAAGCATTGTCATCAAATTCGGCTTCCCGAGATGAACGGTGGCGATGCTTGCGGCGCTCGGACTTGTCATCTCCAATGTCCGTAATAGCGGAGCGAGCATCGTCATCAACAGAGAAGGTGTCACTTCCATGCTTAGATCGACGCTTGCGACGTCTCTCCTTCTCCTCGCCACCTTCCGCGTCGTCAGGAGCGGCTTCAGCATCGCGACGTAGATCGAAATCATCGCCGCTGCGACGAGACTTTCTAGACTTAGCTGGTTCAGAGACAATAGAACGAGACTCGTCACCAGACTCGGGCACATCCTGTGATCGGAAAATATCAAAGTCATCTCCGCTGCGTCGAGACCGGCGAGATTTACTAGTCTCATCTTTCGAGACAGGTGCAGAAAATACTGACTGGTTGTCATCGTAAGACCCGGAGATCTCTCGCGATCTGGGGATATCGTACTCTCCTTTGCCAGCAGAAGCAGAGGTAACCGAGCGGGTGTCATCCCGGGATTCAAATGGTTCGCGTGACTCGTAGATCTCGAAGTCATCACCGCTCCGTCGAGATTTGCGGGACTTGGACTTGGATGTCTCGTCCTTGGAAACAGGGGCAGAGATAACAGAGAAAGAATCATCACGAGACTCGGGAACCACTGACTCCGGATATTCAGCAATGCCAAAGTCATCGCCACTCTTCCTGGACTTCCTGGACTTGGACTTGGATGTTTCGTCCTTGGAGACGGGAGCGGAGATAACGGAATAGGATTCATCTCGAGATGGAGACACCTCCCGTGACTCGTAAATCTCAAAGTCATCTCCACTCCGCCTCGACGACTTGGACTTGGACTTGGACTTGGTCGGAGTCTCTGGGTCCATGGCAACAGGCGCCGGCGCTGAGACCACGGATCTGGCGTCAGGCAAGTTTCTAGATTCAGCTGTATCAAAGCCACCAGGCATCGAGAAGACATCTACGTCTTTTTCAGGCGAAGCAGTACGATCGCGCTTGCCGTATTTGCCATTCAGCTGCTCGATGACCTCCTGGGCAATCGAGGCCTTGTCACCGCGTCCCGAGGAAATGTCCCGGTCTCTCGAGAAGGATTCTGGCTCGTGGAAGAAAAGCTCATCCTTGTCCTGGACCACGTGCTCCGGGGTGGAAGTCATATCCTTGGTGAATTTGGGGTCAATTTCTTCGATCTCGCGCTCGACGAAGCCGTGGGGCTCCTTCCGAGCTGATGCAGACCAGGGTGAGGTAAATCTGTGTTCATCCTCCGACCCAGGAGGGGAAGTGCGGGTGTGGTAGGATGGGTCATCTGTGATCAGAGAGGGATCAAATCCAGCTGCGGCCGTCGCAGCAGCGATTGTCGCAGCAAATTCAATATCGGCGCCGTACTCCGATGTGCTGGGAATACCCTTGGATTGGGATATCTCGGATGCAGGGAGAGGAACGTCCTTCGGTGAGATTTCGATAGGGGAAATATCATGTTCAAGAGGATCCTGCTCAGAAGAAGAAGGGATCTCGTATTCGTGAGTTTCATGTTCACCCCAGGAGACCCGGGAGCCGGTTGGTCGTTCGCGAGGCTGGGTATCATAAGATTTATTTACAGGGGGCGTTGGGGACGTAACGTCGCGAACGGAGCCACCGGTCACGCTGTGGGGAGGAGTTGGCTCAATGAGGTTGAGCCCGGGGACTGGCCATGGGAGGCGGTCCACGTGTTGATAGGGCTCGTATGAGTAGTCCACCTCCGTAGGTTCAGGTTCCTCTTTTGTACGTCGTTCGCTAGCAGGCTCTACCTCCACGATGGTTGGCATATTAGGGGAGCCGCTGCTGCGATGAACATCTGGGCTGTGTCGTAATTCCTCAGGGGCATAAAATTCTGCGTAATCGTCGTAAACCTGTGCTGGACGGGGAGATCGAGGAGACTGTTTCTTCTGATCTTCGCGGTGTTCCACCGTAGTCACTTCTTCGTCAATAGGTTGAGTAGGCTCGAACCGCGACACGATCGAACTAGCCGCGATTGCATCAGTGTCGCGCTTCCGCTCGGCGCGGCGTTTCTCTCGGCGTTCATTGTATCGCTGGCTAGCTTCAGAGGCTTCATCATCGTCTGTCTTGCGCGAGAGAATAGTGCTGGCAGCGGCAGCTCCTACAGCTCCAGCTGCTGCTGCACCAACCCAGGATGAGGAACCTTTTTCTCTGTCGCCCGCATACCGGCGGTCCTCGTCGTCTCGCTCTTTTCGGCGGCGCTCTCGTCGCTCGGTTTCCTGGCGGGCGAGCTCTTCCTCTCGGTCAATCAGTTGAACCGGTTGATCAGTAACTTCATCCCGATAGTTCTTGTCACGACGAATAAGGTGGCGTTCCCTCTCCGCTTGCTCTTCCGTCAAGTTGAATTGCACGGAGGCTTGCTCCTTAGCGGTGAACCGGCGCTTGAGGCTGGAAGCAGTTTCCTGAGTGGGGAAAACAGGAGAGGAATCACTGCGTCGGGGTTTCCGGCGGTCGACGTATGTTGACGGTTCTGGTGCCCATGCTGGATCACGAGTGATTTGGAACTGCGAGTCGTAGTTCCCAACTTCATTAGCGAAAAGGGGCGGGACCGCCGGGGTGCTATACACAGGAATGGGCCCCGAAACAGCACCCTGGGTAGTGTACACTGATTGGGAGACAGGGGTAAAAGGCTGAGGCTGCTGAAGGGGAATGGGTCCCGGGCGGATGAGGGTTGGTTCCCCGCCAGATACAGATGGGGACATCTTTGCAACATCGAAGCGAGAGGGGTCGGAAGTAGGCATTGGGTAAACTTGTTGCAGGCTCTCAGACCTACTTGGGGGTCGCTATCACGGTGACGAGCAGAAGAGATTGCAGCGGCTCCAATAGCGCCAGCGCCGGCTACCAGAGCGGCGTTTGTAGTACTCGACCGCTTGTCCTTCCTCTTCTTGTCCTTCTTGCTTCCCCATCTCCAGCCCCATTTGCTGCTGGCGGAGTCGGAGGAAGAGTCAACGCTGCTTCCTCCGAACGCGAGCGCAGAGCTAACACTTGAAGAAGACTGGTCCTCCGACTCGGCATCGATCCATTCTTCGTCCTGTGTGGTAGAGTGGGCGTAGTTGGACTGCCGAGATCGAGGTGTATACATCTGGCCTGCGCTGCGCCCGGGACCGTGGGGCGAGGAGCCAGCCAAACGAGTTGCCGTGTCACTAAGCTCTACCAAAGCAGCATCAACATCTTTACCCTTCCTGCTCTTCTTCTTAGACTTGGAGAACTTCTTCGAGAACCCGTCTCCGAATGCAAGATCATTGTCCAATGAAGAGGATGAAGAGCCGCTCTTGAAAGAGAAGAAGCCGCTTCGCTTCTTGGTGTGACGTTTCTTTCTGTTCTCGGAAGAAGCTGTGAAGAATGAACCGATACCACCAGCGATGGACTTCTTGGCGGGCCTGGGGAGATTGACAAAGGATGAGGATGAGGATGAATCCTTTCGGCGTTGTCGTCTTTCAGGTGAACGACTGCGGGAGCGAGAGCGGTTACGCGACTTTGCAACAGCCAGCGCCGCCCCACCCACTGCGGCACCGAGTGCAGCCTCCTTCAAATACGAATGCCGGCCAGATCGAGAGGAAGACCGTGATCGGGAACGTGTGTGCCGAGAATATCCAGATTGCGATGCATGGTTGGAGTCTGAATAATGGTCTCTTTGAGGACTACGGCCAGAACGATGGGTCACACCACGAGAGGTACGGCTCCTCCGGTCGTCTTCTTCCCCGTGGGATGAGGCCATTCGACCGGAGCGGAGGCTGTAAGAATCGTCAAACTCCTTGCTTGAGAAGAGCGATTTAGTCGCATAGCCGGCTAGCATGCCTGGCAGCCACGAGGAAGATTTCTTGGACTTCGGTCGGCGGCGGCCCTCATCTTCGGAGGAGTTGTATCGGCTGACCTTACTGATCCTGGAACTACCGCTGCTTCGTCGATCGGGGGAGTTTCGGCGGCGCCTGTGATAGTGATGCTTGCGGGGGGGCATCGACGGAGCTCGTGCCAGGTTGGAAACAGTATTTACACACACCGATAGATTCTGTGTAATCCTCGAATCTTCCAACGGCCTCGGGGTCGCGCCAGAAATCAACGAATCTTCCCATGGGGCCACGCTGACGCTCTTGGAAAGCTAGCGCGCTGGGTGTATGAGGATAGAAACCCGGGTTGTAGGCAGCTTGAGCAGGATATCCTCCCGCATACAAAGCATTATTATGGCCAGGGCCATACGGTTGCATAACTTGCATACCACCACCTTGAGGATACTGCTCGTGATGCTGGAAAGCATATTGTGGTGCGTGCTCGGGGCTCGAGGAGTGATGGTGATGACCCAGCATGTACCCCGTTGCAGCGCCTGCAGCCGCAATACCGGCACCTTCACTGAAGCTATGAGAGTGGGACGGCTTGGAGGGAAGTTGGTAGCCACTGCTTGCTATCGGCTGATCGTATTCCGTTGGCTGGTTGTATGTCATTGGCTGGCCCTGTACCACTGGCTGGTCCTGCTGCGCGTACGAAGTGGCGTGCTGCGGAGGGGAATGCGACTCAGAATGAGACATCATACCCCCAACGCCATAAGCGGCAGCTCCAACAGCGGCAGCAGGAAGAACTCCCGATGAAGAAGGCTTCGAAGGCTTTGAAGGCTTCGACGGTTTCGGGGGTCTGATTGAAGACACTGCCGGCGGCTGGCCTTCCTGCGCCGGAGCATGGGAATCATCGTCGAAATAGGCCGCCGCTGCCCCAGTCTCACCCAAACTACTGGGCTCTGGGGGTGGGTTAGCTGATGGTGATGCTGCCATCAAGTGTGCTTGGGTGTTAGGAAGCACACTTGGGCGAGCCGGTCGAATACCGGGCTGGTGCTCAACAGACTCGCCCTGGTCACCATAGTAGTCTGCCGCAGCGCCGGCAGGGTTAGGCGGCCGATACGGCTCAGCAACCTGCTCTGGGAACTGGCCGGGAAATTGTTGCTGCACGTGTGGGTCATACGAAACTTCATGCGCTGGCGAATGGTCTGCAGATGGAAGTCCAGCGTCGTACTGCATGGGAAATTGCGAGAATCCCGGGGCGCCAATCTCGGCGGCAAACTGCGCGCCGGGGGCGCTAGGCGGCATGCTTGTGGAGATCGGGGGCACATATGGATCCCCTGACTGAGTGCGGCGACGGTCGCGACGGTCGCGACGGTCGCGCTCCCGATCCAGGTCATCGTCCAGAGTATCTTGTGTTCCTCGGCGGCTGCTTCTCTTTTCACGCTCGGGGCTGTCGGATCGGTCCTGGTCGCGCCGACGAGAACTCTTGCTTTCCCGTTCACTGTCTCTGCGTCTTGGTGTGCGTTCAATATAATAGCGATCGGAGTCATCAATGGCTTCTGGCTCGGCGGTTACATAGGTTGATGCGATAGATTCGCCGGCAATACTCGGTGGGCCACGCTTACTGCGGGAAGCCGTTGGCGAGTAAGACGACAAATCACCCAGGCCGCGGTCACGGTCGTCACCCCGTGAGGACTTGCGACTTGAGATCGATCTAGTGTCAGATTTATCGGGCTTTTCGGACTTGCGCCGGCTGCTCTTGGAACTGCTGCGAACGTCGGATGAGGATGACGAGCGGCCCCCGCCCATCAGGGCTTTGAACATGGTGGGCAATTAATTTGGATAGCCAGAGTGAACCATGTGGGATGAAAGGAATGTAATGATTGGAATGCGGGCGGTATGGGGAGGGTAAGTGTTAGTTGGTAAGTCAGAGAGAATGCAATGTTATGGGTTTGTTTGGGGGAAGTAAACAACGGAGCTGAGCCGTGGATCTTGTACCCGGGAAAGGCCCCCAGTGGATCTCAACTTGACCTGTGGCGCTTAACCTCACCTTATTCCCTCTTCTTTGGTGTTGAGTATCGGATAGAATCTGTGTGATAGTTAGATGAGATACAGACGATCTGAAAAAAAAATGCGACAGTGAAAAAATGTGATTCACAGCGCTGATGAACTGTCGGTGCAACAAGTGGAGCGAATCAAAATCGCGGTGAAGCATCGTGCACGGACCAACATGGGGCTGGGTTCACTTCTTCACCCAGCCATCTATACTCCGTACAATCTAATAGCTTACGGAGTACTCCGTACCTCACATATACATCGAAAAATAAAGATCGTTGGTCGAAATTCATCTAGTCTATACTTCTCGACACAGGGTACACTTCAATGCCTATATAAGAACGAGAATCACATGCTAGCCGTAGTATCACTAGCAACCAAAAACAGTATATATCGAATTTCCTATTATTGACAATAACAGTGCAATATATGCATTAACCCACCAAATAATACCACAAACATATAGCCACGATACCCCTTCCTAAGTATTAAACAACTAATAACCCTAATAACCCTCATCGACTTCTCCAACCTACACCTGGGCGAATACTGTAACCACCCAGGCTGCCAGGCAACGCCCTAATTTGCTTTGCAATCAACCAACAGATCCAGTAATAAATAACATGCCCACTCCCTAACAAACTAACAACCTCCTCAGCAACAACCTCAGAGTGTGAAGCAGAGGATTAAACCAAGTATTCTCAACAGTCAGACCCCTAATAAGGTTGCCTATTAGTAAGATCCTGTGCCTAGTAAAATCCTGTGTAACAAGCATGCACGTAATGAGTCTCAGATCCATAATAGCGCGTAACCAAGTCAGCAGCAAGTCCCTTGTGGAACACAATAGCCGCACCTAGACAGCCCTGGATGCCGAGTAATCGACTATGTTAGGCCTGACATTGGCAGTATATCCAGGTAGCGAAGTAACAATGACAACCATACCATGACTTGCCTCGATCATATCGGACAGGAACTCTTGCACAAGCTTGGTGGGACAGCATGTTGACTTCGAACATATGGCGCGTCTGGGCTGAGGTTATTTTATAGTATGCTGACTCGTGCCTCTAGATTAAATCCTGATCAGCACAATACGGGGAAGCTGAGGTGCGTGAACAGCATACTTTTGCTTTCTCGGTGATAATATGGCCGAATATACTTAGGCCTTTGAATAAATTTGGTTTGATATCAGCCAGCCGGTATAAAACCATGGGAGCTGAAACTGTGGGAGCGGAAGGGCCCACAACCATCATTGTCCGGTACTGCCGAACTTGTGCATGAACCATTAACCCTAAAGCTTCCATTCTGCCCAGGCGGTTTACAACATGACCAAGCAATATCAGACTTCATCTCAATGGATCTGTGTTCTGTCCAACCATATAAGCTAATGAAAAGAAAATCTACAAACCAAACTCCAAAAACAGCCAAACTGAAGAATGAGGTATAAATCAAAACACCAAAGCCAACCAAAATGCAAACCTTTGCATTGAATATGAAAATGATATGGCGCAGCCAACTCAACAGAAATAAGTTGGAATATTGTAAAAGCATCCAAAAAAAGAAAAGCCAACAGACGTGTATGACTTGGGATGCATGCAATGTAAGGAAAATAACCACACAAGATACAATAACTCCATTCCCGAGACGTATCTCCGAGGAGGAAAGACCGTCGGAGGCAGGAAATGCTTTCGGTCCCAAAAACAAATGTAAAAAAAGACGGGAAAAAAAAAAAAAAGAAAAAAGAACGAGTCAAAGCGAACCCATCGCAGCCCAGTCATTACCTGAGAGGGGGAACGAAAGAACGTGGAGGATTGCTCGATGAATGAAAATAGGCCACACCAATCAATCACCACATAAAAAGCCCGTGTTTTCTGATCTTGTCTCCGATGCACGAGTGCCGAGTGTGAAATCGGATAGGGTTGGGGAATCATCAATGAAAAAAAAAAGAGCCGTATAGTGCACAAGGTATAGATGACAGACAAATAACAGATGTCGAGCACGGAGGGGCTCGGGCTTGAAGGGACAGGGACATGCATGATGTGTTCATAAGGAGATATGATATCAGATATTGGGTTGCGAAGCCCACAGGAACGGGACAAAAAAAAAAAAAAAAATAACTCTGACGCTAGACGCATATTTAAGGGAAGCTCATGCTGGTAGTTTGGCTGCTCAGGCTTGGGGTGTGACTGCTCAGGCTTGGGGTGTGGCTGTTCAGGCTTGGGGTGTGGCTGCTCATGCGGTTGGCTTGCGTCAAGTCAGGAGAACGATTGAAGATTTTGACGTAGATCTGAGTGAGAATGCGAGCATCGGCGCGGAGGGTGGGGGATATGTTTTCGCTTTGAACAAGGAAGCCTATGGTGCGGACGAGGAGACGCTCGAGTTGCTCTGGCTCGACGAGTTCCTGTAGACTTGACATGAAAGTTGCAGATAGGACTAGCATATTGCCGAATTGTCTGCGATGAAAATATGTTAGTATCATCTCTATATCCGATGCCCCGGAACGGGTGTCAGGGGATTCCTTACGCATGGGCAGTGCCGAAGATGTTGGTAACAATTAAACGATGTCCACCTACACCGTCAAAAGCCTCTGTGCTCTTGATAGCCGATTGAATGCAGATGTCGCAGGCAGCCTTCAGCTTCTTCGGCAGTTCGCGTAAACGGACTTTAGGGGGTTGCCAGTCAGTGGAGACTGCGGCCGGCATAGAACCCATCTCACTAGACATACGCGCCATTTTCGGAGCCCGAACAACGCTGTGTAGCATTGAGGGAGACAATTGTTGCGATGTTGGTGAGTCCACCATAGACTGACCAACTGGACCCACGCGGGCACCTGTGTGGCCGTAGTGCAGGGCATGGTAGAGGAGAGGTCGGTGAATAATATACCGGGCACCGTAATACTTGGCACGCATGCGAGCGGCATTGATTTCGTTTGCCGGCGGATCGCTTTCCTCCCACTGCATGCTTTGTGGTAGGCTTTTACGCCAGAGGTCAAGGTTGAGGCTTAGAGCCTCTTGAACGGTGGATGACCATCGTGTCTGACCTTGCTTTTCGACCTTGTATAAGTCTGTATGAACTCGATTCAAGACTTTGCGTAGATGAATTTGAGCAGAATAAAACAGCATCACCATCGTCTGGGGTGAGTTGAGATCGTTCGGTAGAATGAGTGTCCATTTTCCTTTTGGGATAGCCAACCGACCCTCGGAACGGGAAATGCCACTCGCTGGAATGTCTAGCTCTGCGAGAAGATCACTCTCCAATTGCAGACAGGTCCAATAAGCAAAGTTGTACAAGTCCTGCGTAGGCCCTTCTTCGAGTCGCTCATATCGTTTGGTTCTCACGAGAACTTGGCAAGCCCTTGAGGCCTGAGAAATCCAACTGTGGCTCTGGAAGGGATGGGCCAATTGGCCGGCATAAAGACCAGCAAGCAAGCCACACTGGACATGTTCCAGCTCGTTGCCACCCTGCAGATGGCCTAAGATTGCGGTCGCGTATCCATAGAGAGTCAGGCCAGGAATGACCTGATAGTTCTTCGTGTTCCCATGTTCATCATGCGTGTGTGTCACGTCTCGCCTTGACAGGCCCTTTATGCTTTCTTTCGTTGGAGCGGTTGAGAAAGATTGGCCAGGAGACTGGGTTGGCATAGCGTAAAGAGAACTCGAAAGCGACATCTGCATGGGCGTCGAGTCAGAGTTTGCTGGGGAGAGCACACCATTGGTAACGTATGTCCCATTTACAGTCGGCGGTGGGACAAATGGTGGCAGCGGAGGAGGAATGTCCTGGTTGAGGTAGTCAACCTTCTTGTCCATGATAGGCCCAGGGAGAGGGGCACGAGCTTCGCAAATCGCTCCGATGGCCATACACAGCAAGATCATGGCATTGTGGATATTTTTACCGACTCGTGGCCGCGGCGGGTTAGAAACAGGTTCCATGAACTCGCCACGCACACCTAAGTTGTCGTTTGACCGCCTCCTTTTGGCTGGTGGAGGACCGTCGCGAGCTAGTCGTGTGTAATTGGAAGTCGAACTTGGTGAGGTGTTCGGGCGGCAATAGCATCGGATAAAGGTATCGATCATGGCCTTCAACTCATTCTCCATAAGGAATGGGTGAAGCTTAAACATGTGGTCCATGTAGCTGTCAAAGTAGCGCTTAGCGGTCGTACCATCCAGCTTAAAATTTCCAGCTTCGTCGATGTCGACATCGGCATCCGGTCCTGCGCCATCCCCATCGGGTCGGGCCGTGGTGTCACCACCATTCGGTAATTGGCTGTCATCTGTGGTGTATGAGATCTCGCCTTGGCCGTATATGCTAATGAGACCGCGCTCTTCTTCCAACCGCATCACATAATCTTCGTCATATTCAGCGGGGTGTAACAGCCTCTTAATTGACGGCCACATCAATAGCTTGTGAGCTGCAGTTGTGTGCTCCACTGGAATGGAGAGCTCTCCCTCAGCCTCCTTTTGATCCTCGAGCCTCGGGCCTATGGGTCCAACAGATTGGCTGAATTTCGACGCGGCGGCATCCTGGCTACTCCCGGGGTCCAGAATATTTGCAGTCGAAACATGGGTCGGAAGCATCTCGGTCTTGAAAGGCGGGTCCTGCTTCATGGCCGGTGGTGGTGGTGGCAGGAGGGCCGGACGTTCTTGGACAGTCTGAGTTGGTTGTTTGACCAGCTTGTTGAACATTGGCTCTTGCATCTGCTCTTGCATTTGTTTTTGCATTTTTTCGAAACGCTCATCCATACGGTTGGCTCGCTCCTCCATACGGTTCTCTATCTGGGAGAGCCGATCCAATACCAGCTGGGTAGTTTTCTCTTGCTTGTGCGGCGGTACCTCTTTGTAGACACAGCCAAGGTTGTTCTCTTTACAGTGACTGCAATTCGGTCGTCCCTCATCACACTTTGCTTTCCTAGCTCGACATTGATCACAAGCCTATGTAGCTCAAGTATTAGTCAAAAGAAAATTCCCCGAAATAATTCTGCCTTCTACTAGTTCAACATACCTGCGTGGCTCTATTTGCCTTGCGCTGACGTGCTCCAAACGTCTGGCTTTGATAAAAAGCTTGATCATATCCGGCAGGTGGCGTAGCACTCGCCATTTGGGCACCGGGTGTCATGAACTGTGAAGCAGGAGGCAGAGCACCCGAAACGGGTGTATGTTCAGCGCTATTAATCTGATCCGGGGGTGGGTAGCCCATACGAGCGCGATAATCCGGTGAGCTCTCGTGCGGCGCGCCATTCATCGGCTGGTGGAAGTTTGGGTGGGGGGCATTGGATCTTGCGGGGAATGCACGGGCGCATGTAGGGGCAGGCCATGGCCATTTGGGCGACCATATGGGCCTTCCGATATTAATTGTGGCAGCTCACGGTTGGGCATCACGGGGTATCCCGGTGGCTGAGGCGGCAAGGGTGTCTGGGGGTTTGCGGAGGGGCGGCGGGAATCGGAGGGGTGGTTATCGAAAGTCGGAGGGTATGAAGAGCGCCATGAGGACTCGTATGCTGTATGCGGACCCGGGTGCCCATGGTGCCCGTCCGGAGGAGGCATGCGATTCATCGTAAATGGAGGGTCCGGGTGTGCGGAGGTGTGTCTGAAGCTACCAGGCGCGGCTTGTGTCGCAAATAGCCCTGGTCCTTGGCGCTGGGTATATCTTGGGCGGCCAATTTACCGTCGAGAAGCGATTTGGCTTTGGTAAATTGGAGCTTAAACCAACATGACGCTCTCTCTGAGTTGGAGTCGAGAAAGTAGGATGGAATAGAAAAGGAAAGCAATGACAGATGGTGAACCTGATATCCGAAGGAGCAAGAGTTGGAACAATGAAATTAGATCGCGCCGTTTGAAGCCTGCGAATCAAATTTGTCTAAAGCTCCGAGTTTCCCAGGTCGCAAAAATGCGGTGGTGATGTCGCAGTGGGCAACCGAGTGTGGAGCTAGACAAAGAAATAGTCAGATTACGGCGATGATCCGACCAGGGGTCTCGTTAGACCGAGATATGGGAAATATCGAAAAGAAAGAGAAAAGGGAGTCCAAATAGATCGTATCCACCCCAGGCGTATATCAGATAGATCGCAAAGCAGAAGTACTAAGGTTGGGCCACAAGGAGGGGAAAAACACCTGAAGTGGAAGTTTGGAACCTTGGGAACACATTTGATGTACTCCGTATGTATACACATATGGGGTACGCAGTATGTCAGGTATGGTAATTCTTTGTAATATAACGTACCTGTTGCTTTTGGGTAGTCAAATACCCATGAGACTAAGTGGGGGGGGTTGGAAAGGCTCGGGTACACCTTAAGAATTGTAGATTCAAGGTAATTTCAAGTTCAAGGTGACAATATCAAAGTGTCGAACTTCCAAGGTATAAGGTCCCTAGTTATTGAAAAGAGGAAAGAAAGAAAGAAAAAAAAGAATATAAACTGGGGGAGGGGGGAAAACATAAGTCATAACATAATAACATATAATAAAATATTGACTGTTATAATTACGCCTGAAGGGATCGACAGGTGTGTTTGCCCCTCCCTAGATTTAAATACATACTCTCTTTAGAATCGCGGTGACTATCAAATACCTCGAATTAAATAAAATAAAAAATAAAAAAGGCTTTGGTTTTCTCTAACCCATTAACTCATTCATCACATATATAATAAGAATATACAACATAGACCCCTGAGAAAGAAGCACAGAACTCCAACACAGTTGACAGGTCTGCTTTTTTTGTCTTTTTTTTTTTTTCCCGCTGAATTCAAGAAGCAGTGGGTCCGGCGGCTGGGGGAAATATGAGATGGTCTGCAGAAAAGAAATTAATATCATCATTCTAGGATATGGATACTATATGCATAATGTGTCTGTGAGTTGTATACATTGCAAGTAGGGATATAGAGATACCCCCAATAACTAACTAGATGTTATTAGACTACAACATATGGAAGACTAGTATGTAAGTGATATGATCGAAGCTAGGATCCTCCGCGTGGAACGGGGATCGAACTTGCCGCCCGAAGGTCAACCGCTTCGCTGGGAAATGCGCCATGCAAGTCGATTCACCCCAGTTATGATATACTGATTGGGACTGCGCTTAGTTATGACTTTGGGGCCTCGGGTTAAAGTTCAAGGTTATAGAGTAATACCAGTGTTTGAGGTTAATTTCTAATTTTATTTTTTATTTCCTATTTTTTTCGGTTTCACATTATACTAATATGACCCGTGTGTCGGACAGGGATCACTGCCTAATACCCAGGACTCGGGTCCGAAGTACTCTTGGAATATGGTATTAAGATATAGATATCGAGATCAGTCTCCAATCTATGATTATTTCCCAACAGAATGTAGAAAGTATAAGAAATAGCAATGGATGTATATACAACAGAAGTGAAATACCCTTGAATGCCCCAAGCACCCAATGACAGTCGCCGCACTGGCCGTCCATTCGGTCATCGAACTTGAAACTACACATAACTTGCAAGGGGCGCGCTTCCTTTTCCAAAACACAAACTCAACACGAACTCTGTTCGAATTCGATTGTCAAATCAGTGGGTATATAGCTCCAGATCGGCGATCTTCGAAGAAAGCTTCGAGCCCCCCGGCGCAGCGCAATGGTCATTTGAAGGGGTCCCGTAGCTCCCAGCGAGATGGTTGACGGGGCTGATCAGCAACCCAGGGCTTTGGGCACCTTACTCCCCGTGTACTGGACTGTCGTTTGATTAGATACACTTGGAAAGGCATCCACTTTCGAATGACACTTTGACTAATTAGTGAATTTGGAATGTAGTCACAACTTACGGAGTCGATAGGACAAATAATAACTATACAATAGATATAGACACAACATATATTGTACATGTATCCCGCAGGCAGAGACTGTAATTACAAGAAATAATACATGACGGAGTAAACCGGGTTCGGGGTTACCCGTCCTCCGTCCATGGTTGACGACGGGAATCATCCATGGGCTCCCAGGGGGTTTCCAGAACCTATTCTTGTCTACTCCGTACGGTGTATACACAATATACGGAGTAGAAAAAGTGGATTGGGATTGACGTGGCCCATTTAATCATGACATTTTGGCCCCGTGATATCACAGCATCAAGCCAATACTCCGTACGTTCATTCTGCTCATTTACTTCCCAACTTAGGCAGTAGCACAGTTTACCCCTGGCTTGATCAGGATGCAGCTCACGGCCTCTGTACCACAGAAGACTCAACGGTCTTCCCCAGTCGGGGTCTTCTGAGTAAGTCAAACGCGCAGATTCAAAGTAGCACAAGAACACAGAGTTGCCCCAGCATTCCTGGTATCATCATCATCGTCATATTATTATTATTATTATTTTCTTTTTGCTTCTTTTGAGTTTTAGGTTGTGTCTTGTCTGTGTAGTCCCCAACTTTAATCTACTAATAGTTAGGAAGGATTGAAGGATCGTGGCGGAGTATAAGTTCGTGGTGTATAACTATACGAGTAGTGTACGGAAGTGTGGATGGATACACATTTTAGGGCTACTTACAGTACAATAGTGCTCGATACGCGTGGAGCCAAGGCTTTTGCTAGGCAATGATTTCCTTTATTTGGTTAATTCAAATCCGTCGTAATATCGCGAAGTGGTTCTCCTATATCAACGAGATGCTCAATATAGAGCTCACGGGATTTGACGTGCATAGATGAGATCTGAGCTAAAAGGTCGGAATGAAAAACAATCCGAACCTAACCTTAGTAGCAAAGTCCATTCTTCCAATGGTGCAAATTACGAATTCCAAGACATCCCACTGGTTGACAACTGAATCTTGCCACCGTTAAGGGGCTATCAGGGTTACATGGATACTAATCACGGGCCCTTCCACTTAGCATTCAACGTTGACAAACATACGGAGTATCCAATCTGCGTTCCAGTTTTAATCTGCCCTGTCGATCTGCCGCTTCCACTCTCCTTCCACTATCCTATTTCCTGGGTTCGGGGCGGCGCATTGGTCTAGATATTTAGATCTCCGTTGTATGTGGCTACGCGTCGCAGTCAAAGTCTTGATTTTAGTGGGTATCATGGGAATTATTACGGGATTGTGGGGCTTGGCCGACTATTATTGTACAAAAGAGAAAAGGAGGAATGAACAAAGTACCAGGCAGATATCCTAGTTCCACTGGAGACCCAATTCCTTCTCCCAAGGTTAACCTCAGAAGTCCTAACAACCTAATACATCGTAAAAACAGACCTCGCCTCCGAAATAACACGGGCCTACAACGTGCAGGTAGTAACTGCACGCCATGCATATCGCAGTATGTCGATAGCTGAAATAGAGTTTGCAGAGTCATTAGATATCCAATGGCGAACGCAAGGGGCAACCATACAGGACATTATTCACTACCAAGAAATATCAAGAACCCCCAAACCAAGCCTCTCAATAATAAATAAATGGCACACCTATGTTATAGCCTGAATTCCAATACTATTCCAATACTACTGAACTATCTTAGAGCCTCAATCCCTGAGCTCGTACTGCAAAGTCAGGCTCGAGTTCCATTCCACTACTATCTACCCATACACTGAGTACTAAGAAGTATGCTGTCCCTAGAATTAGCATCATGGATTACTTTTTAATGTATTGCATAAAAGTTTGGGTCGGAGAGAAACCACCCCCCGAAATCCGAATTAGTATGAAGCAGACCTAGTTCATGATCCAATCAGGACTAAAAGATCCCCTTCACGAGACCATTGGAATGGCTCCATATGGGGAAGATGCAGACGATCTTCTTCTCCCTTGACACAAGTCCCCACATATATCGAGGGGAGGGGAAGGCAACACGGAAGGTTGCATAGTCACAGAATAGATCCAGTTCCTCGCGTTGGACTGAGACTCTGATGTAGGCAGTAAACAGGATAGAGTCTACAGTCTACACCTCCAGTATCTCGATAGGGGTGGAACAAGATACATACATTTATTTGTGTTACAGTAACATTGACAATATATCATATTGACGTGGTTGTCTCCAACTATCATATCATAGGGCTGGTGAGATACACACAAGTTGGGTAAGTATAGCCTAGAAAGGGAGTGTTGACACGCGCCAAAGACAAGGTCCAGAACCAAATTGCAACCACAACCCCAGTCTGCTACTTTCTCTCTCTCTGTTACTTATACCCAGAAACAAATCACAGGAATAGTGCAGAGTGGGGGTTCTTACTAGTTTACAGAGTTTACATCTTCTGATTTGGATTCTTGAACCTTCGAAATCCAGGTATACGAACGTAATGCTACAAAGCCAAAAACACCACAAATACTAGTAAGTAAAATCCATGGACAATACGATATCTCAATATCCTCAAAATCGCAAATTGCAAATTACTGGGCCTCATCAGCGATGTAAGCGCGTGATTCGCTCACTTTGCCACAGATCGATTCCAAGGTTGTGTCGCCGCCCGCCTCAGCTGAAATGTGATCACCTCCACTCTCCCATAGAAGCTGGACATTTGGTTTTGTCACTGTACATTGGATGATCAGTTATGTGGACAGCCTACACGCGCTTCGTGGGCCTCTTAGCTAGCATTATTAAAAGTCCAGAACGAACTCTGC